ATATGGAATATCACCCAATCAGGAAAAAGCTAATGAATGGCTGCAAAAAGCAAAAAATAACAATTTTCAAAAGGTGGTTGATTATGAAAATCTGGATGATTCTTTGAAAAAATTATTATCTGATAATAATTTATTAATATCATGGATTCCATTTAATGAATTAGAAATTATAAAAAAAATTGGGAAAGGTGGGTTCGCAACTGTGTATGTCGCTAAATGGAAACGCATAATTGCAGATGTTGGTATTTTATATCAAAATGTCGCACTTAAATTATTTCATGGACCAAACAATAGCTGCGAGGAACTTATAAAAGAGGTAATATTTAATAACTCATGTCCTATAATTTAGTCACTACTATTCAGTTATTAATAATTATAAAATTAAAGTTAATCGCGTATTCAAATATTGGAACTAAAAACCCTACATTTTTACAATGTTATGGAATTTCAAGAGATGAAGGTACAGATAAATATATTCTAGTTATGCAGTATGCAGAAATGGGATCTTTACGTAAGAATCTTTATCAAGTTGCACAAATGAAATGGGAAAAAAAATTAGAATTGTTATCTTATATTGCATTTGATCTTCAATTAATTCATTCGAATAATATTATTCATTGCGACTTACATAGTGGAAATATATTTCAAAAGGATTTATATAATGCTTATATTGGAGATTTGGGATTTGCAACATCAATTAATAAAACGTTAGATAAAGGATCAGGGGGGATTTATGGTGCTTTACCGTATGTAGCCCCAGAAGTTTTGCAAGGAAAACCATTCACCAAAGCAACAGACATTTATTCATTTGGAATGATTATGTGGGAGATTTCTTCAGGAAATGTTGTATTTTCCGACTATAAAAATGATGATTTAAGATTGGCAATAGAAATTAGTGAAGGTTTGAGACCAACTATTATTAAAAGCACAGCACCATGCTATGTAAATCTTTTGAAGAGATGTTGGGATAAGGATCCAGAAAAACGACCGTCAGCTATGGAAATTTATGAAACTATTTTAAATTGGAAAAATAATACTGAAATTTTAGCAGGATTCTTAAAATCTGATAAAGAAATTGTGATTAAAAATAATGAAACTAATAATATGGAAGATAGTATGATTCATACTACTAAGTTTATTAGTTATATTAACCAAAAATCATCCGAATGCCTAGTTGATGACGAACTTCTTTCTAATAATAATATTTATCTAAAAGATATTTGAAAATAATTAAATTTTATTACTGTAGTATGAAATTTTATGGTATTTAAATAGAGAGCACACAGAGAGAAGAATATAAAGTATGTTAAACAATTTATATATTATTTAGCGATATCATATTATGAAATAGCAAAATATATAAAGTATTCTTATCTATTAATGTTATTTTAATAAAATTGCATTGTCTGAGTAGTTTATTATTTATGGATACATTCTGTAAATGCAGGCGTTATTCTTACATTTTTTAGCTGTTTTGCGTTCTTTTTATGGTTGCTCATATTAACCGTATCAGTTATTTTAGGACCAAGGGTGTTATCCTAATCCTTAAACATGTCAATAGTGATATAGAATCTTGTGTAATATTATCATCTAATCACACAAATGCTCATTCTTAAAATTTTTTAATTTCACATACGAATATGTCAAAACCATGAACAAAAAAAGATCTTAACAATTTAAACCTTAATCGCACTTATACTCTTAAAGGGGTTGAATTTATCAATGATCAGCTAACAGCACATACTTTAGAAATTGACGGGAAACCTGTTAATCTCTTTAAGCTGAACACAAAAGGAAATCTTAGTCTAATGCCATTTGCCACCATTGGATGGAGGTTACTGTTGGAAAAAGTTGTCAACATTCTCAAAGAAATCAAATCAAGTGCTTAGTTATGCATGATTATGCATGATCTACAAATCAGATTTGAGAATCAGGTGTAACGTAGCACGATCAAAACAAACGTTCGTTTTGCCAAAAATCGCTTCTTCCACCTTTAGTGCACTAACAAAAAGTTTTCTTGTGCGATTTTACTATATAACCAATTAGCTTTTAACTTTATACGAAATGCTAACCCTAACATTAATGAACTTTAAAGAATTTTATATAATGATCGGCAGCATGCATAACCTGGCACAGAATTCTTTAATGCGAAGATTACAATAATGGAATTAAAAAAAGAATTAATACCATCGAAAACACGTTAAAAATTTAATTATTAAGTTAAAAACATAATGAAAGATTGAAAAAAAAAGACTCTCAAAATACTGATCATAATTTATACCCGTAACTATAATATTTATTCTCGGCAAAATGGTGATATCAAAACATCCCAAGGAGAGTTTAACTTTAATGTTGGGTGCCAAAGAACAATAAGAGTATTTGAAATTTCTTTTACACCTAAAACCATATTCCACAAATTGACTCAATCACAAGGCTTGATGTCTGGTCAACCTCTTACTCCAACATTTTATTTTTTTTATTATTTATACAGTAAATTCGGATACTTTGATTTGCTATAGACACCAACACCGACAGAAACATCTGAAAGTTAGAAAGTTAGAAACAAATGTTCTAAGTGTGATGAAAAGTTTACTGATCATTATATTTCATTAAACACAACACTATGAAAACACCATGCATGTAAGCAGATGCATAGAGATTAGAAATACAATGCATTAGGGCGACTTTTTACACTACCCTAAATTTATGACGCAGTTATGATAGACATTTAACGTGAGGCAAATCATTTGACTATAAGTATATTCATAAGAAGAGAGGAGTTTTAATGTAAAAGAGATGAATTTTAACGGTAAAAGAAGATGGATTTTAAGGTGGGAAGATGGGTTTGACGTGATAATTATATTAGTTTTATTGTTTAGGAGGTTCATTTTAATAAATGCGTCATATGGTTGACGTATATACATGTAATAATTAAATAGTAATTCGGGGTTTTTAATTTTGGCCCAAAAATGCGCCCGAATGTAGTTATTATAAATCTATTATTGATTATTCTTCAAAGTGTTATAAAATTGTAGATCGTGTCTTATGCATTCACGTAATATAGAATCTTATCCATAATGAATAGGTGATGGACTTATTCAAGAACACCGGGATCTTGTAATTTAATATTTGTAAGATTTATAAATATATATTTTTTAGAAACATCGTATTTACTTGAAAGCAAGTAATAAATTTGAAAGCCAGAAACCTGATATTTCCTTGGTTTCATCTCATTTATCATTATTACAGGGGTGGGAGCCGGACATCTCCTGAATTTTGAAGAGTATAAAAAGGCTTTTCGCTTAGTAATTCTAACTGACTAACTGTTGTTTTATCCTTTTGATATCAAATTTAAATGATACGTTAAAAAAAGAAATTGGATAAATAGTCAGAATTACTAACTTTCATTCCGTTTTTAGCCTAATTATATAGTTAATTATATCAATATGTTTGGTGTTACTATATTTATGCTTCTTTAATAAATCCTTAAATGAGGCATTGCACATTTTACAATGTAAATATTTGTTAATATTAAAAATTCAGTGTTTTCACTATGAAATGTTATAAATATACAAATTTGGCAATAACTTATCCCTTTTGACATCAAATTAGTACAAAAGAACATATAATTTTGTATTACGTAAATTGATTGTCACTTTGTACTAACTTAGTGTCAGAAGAGATATTATACTTGTTATCTGCAGTATTTCTAAATAACCATAAACAAAGTCAATTTAGGTTGCTATGTGTAATTCATTTATTATTTACTAGTATTACTATATATATTTTCATGCAAATATTTTTTAAATGTGAATTAAAAGGTCTGGATATTTACACTTCACTACGATAATTTTTATATAAAGATATTTGATTATACCTAGGATTAATGCTCGCGTTAATATTGATCAAAGCCGTAAATTTGATGAAAATCATTTTCATTTCACATTATATTTTTAATCTAGAAGCTTTATAACCTCGCTGAATATATATTTTATAGCATGTGATACGTGTACAAGTGCAAAGTACAAAATATGATTTGATTTTTGATATGGTTACAAGTGTGCATTTAAAGATATTTATATAGTATAGAGTATTTGTAATTCGCTTAATTAACCTACTAAGTCATTGTCGTCAGAGTTAAAATGTTCCATGTACGCTCTCTTTAAGCAATAGTAATACCGCCATTCTCATAATACAAATTCTATTGTGTTCCTCACTCACAAAAAAATCAAATGTTTTTGCACAAAAAAAAAAAAAACATTTTTTTAATTTGTCTGCAATATAAAAATGTGTCGATAAAATTTATGTGAAAATTAATTTTTTAACATCTCCATTTTATAATTAATAAATTCTAAAAATAATGAGTTACCAAGATGGTGAAAAACTCGAATGTGAAAAACCCGAATGTGAAGAATGTAAAAAACTCAATGAAGAATGTGAAAAATGTGAAGAATGTGAAAAACTCAAATGTGAAAAATGTAAAAAACTTGAACGTGAAAAGAATTGGTTTACAATTATTAAATGGATTATGAGAGTAATATCTATTGGGATTTTGTTGAGCGTTTTAATCATTTTTTCACTAGAGGTAGCTAATGATTTACCAACTGTGAGGAATGAATATGTTCAGATTTCAAAATTTCCTGCTCCAGTAATTTCAATGCAACTCCGATTAAACTTTACGATTACTTGTGATTTTTTATTGTTTGATGTTTATGGTAATTTAACATTTTCTATAAAATTTTTGGCTCATTATACATTTACTGATTGGATTAATCAGATTTTAAAAACCACGTGTGAAGCAAGAGTAAAAAGAAATTCTTTGCAATGCTTTTTATAAAAATCGTCTGTAATTTCAGAATTAATTTTAATTTAGATAACTCCTAGGGTTTTTAATGGGATGTACCATTCTTTAATCTATTTTCATTACATTAGACTTGCTTCAGATCTGCTCTGGGTTGCTACAAATTTATAGACATGTTTTTAAACTCACTCCAACTTGGGTTTGGTTCTGCTATTCTATTAATAACCCTAGTAGCTACACGTAAAGATTATTAATCTTATTGGCATAAAAATGGATCAAATTTCTATAATCCTGACGCGATTTAATTTTTTTTTCATAAGATTATATACGTAGTAATACTTATTTGCTTATTTTTAGATGATAACAGCCCTCTCAACAACTGTTCAGCCTATATCAAACAGCCTACTTTTACTGAAGATAATGGACGATATACTGGGAAATCTGATCCAAAGGATCTCACCTTTCCTAGTAATCAATCATCAAAAGGATTAAAAAGAATCCTTTTTAAATTTAATGTTATTAATGATACTATTGTAGATGGTGGCATTCCAGCGTTTACTATTAATATATTTGACTCAGTAAATAAAACAATGGCAGATGAAATGTATAATCAAGCTGTAATAGATAAATATTTTGAAAGTTCAACCCTTTTTACTACATCAAACTTCCGAAAAAATAGGTATTTCCTGGGTCGCAATATCGTAAGTAATAATTTTATATATCTAATATTAATGTTAAAAAATAACATAATATTATAATTATTTATTGTAAATAACTATAGATTTATCACATTCGAATGACAAGAAGAGTGGTCAGCCTAATTATACCTTCGGCTCGAGATAATTTTGGTCTTCCGTTAAATTATGACACACAGGCTTATATTACCACAATTATTTGTATGTTTCTATTTTTATTATTTATTTAATACAGTGTATATGGTTCACGTTACTTATAGTCATCAAAAGAAATTCATATAATTTCAAATGACATGTTTTATAATTTAATATTAAAAATATAAACCGTAAAAATAGCAAATCTGAAGTTTCTCTTTCAGATTTACAGTTTACTTTGTTTAATTGTTATTTGGTGAAGTATTACAGGGTATCGGGCCAAATATATTTTTTTCTTTGGTAATATAAAATTTTGACCAATAATAATCGATGCACGTGATTAAAATCTAGCAAAATTTTAGAAAGTTGGGTAAATATAGGTGACGTGAACCATACGTATATCATAATTATTTGACAAATAACAATTTATATAGATCCAACTACCAGAAATAATACATATTACCAATCGGCCGCGTCAGGATTTATGATTGATCCTGACGATTTTGTGGTCGAGACACAAACAGAACAGAGAAATAAAAGTGTAATGTTATTTACTAATTAATATAATAAACCTATGATTTCATAATTATATATAATTATATATAATAATATACCTATCAATTTTATTGGTTATTTAGGTTCTATCCGTTGTTTCAAACATGTTGGCCATAGCAGGAGCATTAATAGCACTAGATGCGTTTCTATTTGGTAATATATCATTTATTATACATTTTATAAAGCAAATACACCTTTATGATTAATTTTATTTAATTCTTTTAGGCGCTAGACTTATAAATCCATGGGGATGTATACGAAAAACTTTTTTTAGGAATTATATAAATTGCCAAACAGCAAAAATTAACCGTGGTGGTAACTTGGAAGAATTTCTTAGTAAACATATTTATGATGTTGAACCCTATAGTAAATCGGTTCTATCACAATATTATCACAATATATAAGGTTTTACCACAAAATCCCGACATCCCAAATCTCGACAGGTCATAATACTGATATCACCGATGCGACAATTAAAAATTTAAAGTCTGACAATGATGTTAATGTGATTATTAATCTTTAAATATTCATTGTCACGTTGGGAGGGATTATGGTTTTCGAGATTTTGGATGTCGGGATTATGGTTTTCGAGATTTGGATGTGGTTTTCGGGATTATGGTTCTCAAGATTTCGGATGCTGTGGTATAAATCAATTTGTTAATAATAAATTTTATTAATGGAGTCCCCACTCTACTCTACTATATTTGATCTTAAATCAAAATTCTTCTGGGTTTAAGTTTAGTTTAGTTCTAAAATTGTAGATGTATCTTTGAGAACTAAATTAATAGTTACTAAAACGCACTTTTATATTCGTCGTAGTAATTATATAAATTCAAAAATAACAAAACTGATCATTAGTAAACTTTGATCCGATTAGAAAAATTAATACCAGATGACCAATATTTACTTTATACCAGGATCAGAGTGATATTTATACCAGGAACGGAGTGACATGTAATATCGCAAAGTCACAAAGTGACACCTCCAGCATAACTACCCAAATAATTTACGTAATCGGTCGGTGTTTTCACTCACCAACTATGGAATTTCAAATGATTGTATTACGCAAGTAATTTAAACTTCGTACATACGTAATCATCTTGGTGGTTCGTCAGCGACGGTTTCACAGATTAATGCAAAAAAAAAAATACAGAAATCATGAATCACATTATTTTCTCAAATCATACAAGATAATATTCATAATATACTGATAGAATCTATGACCTGAATCACACATTTTAAACGCATTCCCCTAGTTTTTGCAGAAGATCGATATTAAAATCGCTATTATCAAAATTTCAAGTTTATTTCAAGTTTATTTCAAGTCCGAAACCATTTTTGTCGAATTTTAGTAAGCGATTATCATAAGACCTGCTTTTGTCTTGATTCAAATCTTGTTCATTAATCATGAATAGTCCATTTTTATTAACACACCCTAAAAAAAATAGAATCTAAACCAAAGATGACATGTCCTTCTTTTCGTCTCGGTAACTAGCGGATGATATTTTTTTGTTATAGATATTATTCTATTTATAGAATTCTTCCCATATAATAAAATTGTTTCGTGATCATGTGTGTCCGTCCGACTTTAATTACCAATGTGCTTAATCATGTTATATAGTTGATTACCGTTACTTGAATATAGTTAGTAATCAGATATGATCTCAGAAATAATCGTTTGCCGCGTGTGCGCCAATTATTTTACCACCACTATCACTATGCTATTGTAGGTCTTTTTCAAATGATATTCATTCTGACCTAACTGTATATAGGTTTTATGTTGGAGAATCGAATAAACTTTATTAAACTTTATTCGTAGTATCATTAAATAAGGGAACGTTTAAATATCATTAAATAAGGGAATGTTTAATATAGGGGTAATTTTCGTGATATGGAGATCACTTGAATTAAACGCCATCTTACCATAAAACGTATGTTCATACGGACGTACTTAGGTCAGTACTTTTTTGTTCAAAAATTTAAGAAAAATTAAGTTAGATTAAAAATCTTTTTTTAAACATGGGTTATCAATTTTACAAGTTTTATTTAATATTGGTCCCATTTTTATTGGATAGAAGAAACGATTAGTGTTAACGTTAGGGGAAATGGTTTGCCATCCAGTTTAGATCAAAAAGAGGTAATGATTAATTACAAACAATAATAATGATTCGACCAGTAATTTATTGAATTAAATTTTGTGAGATGAAAAACCATATAGGGTAAACAAACTTAATATTATACTTAACTTGGAACGTACTTCATGTTGTGTTAAATAATTTTAATCCGAGTATATTTCTAAAAAAATCCAAGCTTAAATTCTAAAGATCGTAAAAAATTATGCGGATAAAATTGTCCGATTAACTTGGCAATAAATTAATGTCGATATTTACATTATTCATTAACCCATAGTATGTAATATAAATAGCCGAATGTTTTGGGATGACTTTGGTTTATTTATACGATTCTGAATTCGCTTTACCCCTATTCCTCTCCTTTCTTTCACCTCCCTAACTTCTCTCCTTAATATCCGTTTTCTAATATTTACCATTTGCGGAAAAAAACCTGATCAAGAATCAACGAAGAAATATCCCTTTTTATTCGTTGTCTTGGCTATAATACGGTTTTCCGCTTACCAACAACACATACGTACCTATCTCCTACCTATTTACTATTTACTTCGGTTTTTTTTTCTTATAACGCTATTATTTGCATATTCTCGCATTATGCAATTCAGATATTAGCATAATAATAGTTTTTTTTCAATAATATTACGAAAAGTCAAAATTCTTCCCTTACTTTATTTCCGTAACTACTATATTTCAATCCTTTCTCAAAATATGAAATATAGTCATTATCAAAATTTATTTCAATGTCTGAAATGGATACAATTGCTGTTTTCGTTTTCGATCTTTATCCTAGGTAATTAACATGATGTTTGATCTCTCTATACTTGATAAAATGATCTATACTTGATCGCGAATTTATAATAATTTGTTCTTTTAGAAATGATTGAACTTGGGGCATATTTGAATTATGTCGATATAGTTTCTCAGGATGATGAACTCTCCAAATCACCCTATAAAACGCTTTTTTTTAATTCAGATCTGTGAGTGTTTCTTTTACTACTGTACAATACATGATCACGCAATGTAAATACATACATATATGCATATATACATATAAACTGTATATACATATCTTCAATCTAAATGAAACGAACTTGATTCAATTTTTATAGAGGAAGCGGATTAGCAAAGAAATACCTTTATTTTGTCTTTTCTCTTAGTATTATAAGCATCAGTAAGTTATTAATTTTTTTTGATTTTCAAATTTTTGAATAAATCAACTTATAAATCAACACTTATAAATCAACTTGTGAATCCGTAGGCATGTATATCGCATTATATCGAGGCTCTTGGACAGAAGAAAAGGGTCCTTTTGCTTGGTTCGAGATGTTAGTATTGGCATGTGATAATAGACCCGCATTACGTATTCATATCATTGTCTTCCGCTATCTTAAATTATATCTAAAAAAAAATTTTTTTTTTTTTTTCAAGGTTGCAGTTAATAATGTGGTTCTTTGCATGTAAATAACTTAATATTTACATTTAAAATTATTATTACCGTAAGATGTCATAATTGATTTAATTTTTTCTTCTGTATATAGTTATGGCAAACCTTTACGACATTATCCATGGTGCCGCCGGTCTTTGTCAGCAGTACCGTTCCGCGCATTCACTTCAACAAATTCCAAAAGATCCATTAGTAGTCTGTGACACCTACATTGCCTCGATAATTTTTTGTTCTCTGATAGTGCTTACATTCATGATCACAACTTGGATAGCTTGGAAAGTACAATCTGAAAAATCTGAAAAGAAAACCAAAGTTCAACACGTGAAAAAAGTAAAAATAATCAAATATTTACAAAATTCAGAACCTAAAGAAGCAGCTAGATTTATACGCGTTGAACGACATGGTAGTGTTAATGGAAAAGTCGTTCTTGACATGAATTGTGACTTGGGAATAATTAAAGAGGAGGTGAATAGTGATGATTGTAAAAAGAATGAGTCAATATGTTAAAAATATGTGTGTGTATTATAATACCTCTTTGTACCTTGTTACTATACATAATCTATACATAATTGTAATGATTATAGTGTATATTTGTAATATAATCTTGACTGATGTTATCTTCTTTCAGTCGTGGGAATACCCACATCAATTTTTTTGTTTATTTTTTTTCAATTAATATATACATGCATTCTTGACAATGTTCTATTTTGAATACGAAGTCCATTTTTTACACTCTATCATGTATTAATTAGTTAGACGTATTAATTCTTTGATACCATGTAAAATTATTACACAATATCAAATATATAATGTATATTAATTATACCTAATTACATTAGATTTCGCACACACATCTTTATCACATTAAGATTAATAAAAAGTAAATATTTACATGTTTAATTTTGTTACGTATAAATTAAATTAAAAGTTTATCAATCTGCATTCCCCGTGATATCAAATCACCTTTTGTGAACAATTCCTCTCTCTCCATCTTAGCCATTCAGAAACCCGGAAGCTTTGTTGGAAGTAAATTTTGTGTAAATTAATAGAGAAAATAATAATAATTATCATTTTCAGATTTTTTTTTCCAGATTTCCGGTGTATTTTACAACATTTCCGCCGAAAATAGTGTAACTTCAATAACATTATCTTGTTTATTATCTTGCCGATTATTCCATTCTTTCATTGATATTTTCCACATATCTTCACAGTCTATGATTTTCAAGGAATCTCTTTCAAATAAATTCTTCAATTCTATCGCTTTCCTTTTATAATCGATTTTTTCTTCAGTACCTTCTTTTTCGATGACTACAGAATTTCTATCTTTGTCTTCAAAATTCTTTGTATGTGCCAATACGATACAATCATTAGGAATCTTAAATTCGACTTCTTGTTGACAATATCTCATGAAACTATTGAATGTTATTCCATCTGGAACTACCATATTGTGTGACACGGATAGTGATTCCCAATAGTAATTAATTTGGAACTTTAGTAATTTTAATTCCGAGATTGGAAATTTATGAATGGTACCAGGTAGAGGTTTAGGGGTCGGTAAATATGGATTCTCATTATCGTCCATGCATGCTCTTTGTCTATTTTTGGAGAGTTCAAATCTAGTAGGTACAAATTTGTTGCCGCATTCTGGTGAAACATAAATTCCAAATCTTCTATGATTCGGTTTCACTTCTGTTTTGACACGAGTCTTTACTTGACAAGAGCAAGGAGGAATGGTATTAGATTCAGTCTCTAATTTTATCGGCTTAAAGACTTTAGTAATTTTTTTCAAGGCTTTCTGAAAAATTTTGGTGGGAAACTGTTTCTTTTGATGTTGACGAGGTGATTCATTTGATTCATACACTTTTACATTCACTTTTTCTGCTGAATCTTTGGCAAAGATGATTGGTTTTGTAGTTGGAAAAAATTGTGTTCCTTGTAATAACGAAAGATATGAAATTTTTTGCGGCATGGTAACGTCGGCGGGAGCGATAGCTTTTTTATTGAAGATTGAAAATGGTTTGAATCGTTGTTTCTCGGCACGATGAAAAGTCATTTTTTTTTGTTGAATAAGTGAACGAAGCGAAGGAAGTATTTAAGATAGAATGTGAATTTAATCTGTAAAGTTATATACTTCGGAAGGTTATTTGTAAAAATCTTTATAAAAAAATTGAGTTCTATTAAATTTTGAGTTGTTGGAATTTTGGACGTCTCGTCATACCTTTCCAGGCCATCTATTTTATAAAAATTTTCAGGCATTGAAGGCATCACATTAAACACATACCAATGTACTCATCCAGCAAGATGGTAAAATTTTAACAAACGATAAAACTCCAAAGTT